TCTGTAAAAACATGATCAACTGATAATTTGTGAAAGGGGAGGCTAAGGGAGCAGATGATGATCAGTTTAACTTCTAATGATGATAACACTAACACATCTGTGCCAGCGAGGAACAATATGCCTTCATTCAATTTGGAAGAGGGCGTTTGTGGGTTTGTGCCTAGGTGAGTGTGAGGAAGAAACAGCCTCACACATCAGCAGGGAGATAATGAGGCCGATCAGCCACGGAGACAAACATGTGGGACGAAGATCGCTGCCATCAAAAGTGAAAAAGAAGGCAGAGGAAGAGAGGAAGCAAGGGCGGCACTGTGTGGTATACATATGAGTATTTGTCTCTCTCCAGGTTGAATCAGGTTTGTTATTTTTTGTTGGTCGCTTCTATTGTAGAGCATCCAGTACAATTTCAATACAAAGTCGTGTCAAGCAGGCAAACGCCTCAGTAAATATTATACCTATTTTTGCCAAATAAACAAGAAACATTCTACTTCATAACACCGCATGCCATCACAGCTCACCCTTTTCTGATAATTGAGGCAATTGATGACGTGAGATGCACACAGTGGCTTCAGTTCCAGCCTCACGTCCCCGTGGGGCTATAAATAGCAGCTTGTGTGTTCATCCCATATCTCTTTGTCAGCTAAGTCCCGTTTTCAAATGTGGAGGAGGGGCTGGAAAACAAAAACACTATATCTCCAAACCCAAACAAGAGGCTAAATAAATAAATAACAAAAAGGGCTGGGAAGACAAGACAGTGCAGCAACACACGGCTGATAATCTGAAATCAGATGTGTTTAAAATGCATGTGTGGGCATGTTTATTTGTGTGTGCTGTGTGCTTTACAGGATGTGAGAGTGCGCTTGTGGGAGCGTGAATGTGAAGTGTGGTGCCACTGTCTGCATCCTCCAGTTGGTCTTGTTAACACGGCGTTCAAAAAGAGCATCTTATCCTTCGCTCCTCAACAGCCAAACAGAACATGTTTCCCTGACAACGGCAGGCCGTGGTCAGTTTTTAGCAGGCTTTGACAAAGCTGTCGTGTCTCCTGATATTAACGGAGGCAGCTTAGTGGTTGTGATGGATCAATACTCAAGAACAGGAGGGAGGCCGGTGTAACCTGGTGGGGGAAGGGTGCTGAGCAATCAAGAGAAATTTCACACATAGGCCACGCTGGCCGACTTACAATTAAAATTTATTACGTCCCCTGAGGATGAGCCCCCCCATTTCTCAGTGTTGACCTATACTAGGCAGCCATTAAAATCTGTAGGTTTTATTGTCCTTGTGATTAATTTACTTTCTTTAAGACAATATGGAGAGGATGGTCGGTTGCTGGTTAAACCATGGCTAAAATATATTCATGAATTGTTGATTTGAAAACAGGCGGTAACAAACTTTGACATTTTCGGAAATATGCTTGAGTTTGATGAAAAGACTGATATCACTTTCATATCTGTAAGGTAAAAATTAAGCTACAGCCAGCAGCAGCCAGTTAGCTTAGCTTACCTTAGCATAAAGACAGGGGGAAACAGCTAGCCTGGCTCAGTCAGAAAGTAACCCAAATTGCATACCAGTGCCTTTACAGCTCAGTAATTGACATTATGGCTCATGTTGGATTTGTCAGAAGGTTATGAGCTGGGCTGGCCGTTTCCAATTATTATGCTAAGCTAATGTAAACATCTGTCTGCGGTTCCTCCAAATTTAGCGTGCAGACACAAAGATGAAATCAGTCCTCTCATCTTACTCTCTGCAAGAAGGCAAATAAGTGCATTCACAAAATGTCAAATTATTCCTCAAATTATTTACTACACAAAATTTCACAATGTGTAGTAATTTCCCCCTTGTTATCATGGACAGTATCAGCAGAGATAACTGAGAAAAATGTCCAGAAAGAGCAGAAAAGGGAGAGGGAGCATTTTGTGTGGGAGGAAGTCATGGAGATACACGATGGCAAGAACACCACCAACAAAAAAAGAACAAGAAAAAACATTGCTGAAGCTACTCTTAGGCTTAAATCCATCTGTCATCACATCCTATTGACACACTGTGACAGATGCTCCCTAAACGCAATGCTATCAGCAACAGACAGACATACCGCAAAGCAAACAAATCATTACACCATCACAGCCTCACAGTAAGATAATAGAAACCTTCTCATCTCAAGCATTGGAATGGATGAACATGGCTGTCTACGTGGTTAAAATGAGGTCACATGAAGCCTGCGAGAACATTACTGTTCTTCTTTCAAATATAATCTGAACTGGTGAGGAATTGCCACACTGCATAAGCATGGAGGCGTACTGACTCACTCCATTCTGCAGCTTATTCATCACAAATTTCAGTGGACAGTATAATCTCATTTGGTAACCCTTACTTCGACGGTGTCCATTAAACTCTGTGCAACCTTTCTAATTGACTGCAGTAAATTCCTACTGTCTCCTCTGTTGGTCTTTTATTCCCAGCAGTATTCCAGCAGGGAACTTTTAACTGCTTTAATTCAATCTGCTGTGTACCCCAAGTAAATTTCAATAAGGTTTCTTTGTGGTGGCGCATTGTGTCCACCCTCCCTGACCCAGGGTACATTTCTCTGCCCACGGGGGTATATACAGAGCAGGGCGCTGAGTAAAAAAAAAAAGCCCTGTGTCTCACTATTGCTCTCACTGTGAATAGAGGTCATCACCAGACAAAGCAAGAGAACGGGCTTCACAACAAGCAGGACATGACAGAAGCGGAGAAAAAAAAAGTACAGCAGGCCACGCAGGGTCGTTCCTCAGCAAATGAGTAACCATAAATCTGTCTGATAGAAATGTTGTGGCTAATGGTTTTTTCTGCCTGTGTACCTTCCACAAAGGGCCTGCCGGATGAGCGCCTTTTCACTGCACTACACTCTGAAATGTTCATACTGTATGATACAACATGATAGCAAATGTAGAACGCTGTGTGCCTAAAAGCTTTCTCATGTGACTCAACCTTTGGGACACACACTAACGCTTGCACGCATAAACCCATGAGTCTCATCACCATCTTATTCCTGCTTTCTGCTCACACCTACCAACTTGTTCCGAAATGGGGGTTAAGCACCATTTAGCAGAAGAAAGAAGAAACTCAGTCAGTCTGTACAGAGGGTCTCTGTGGGCAGGAAACAATGAAGCAATCTGCAGACCTCTTAACACTTTCTAACAAAATGTTAAATCTAGTAGAACAGCTACATGTCGTTCTGCAGCAGCTTGACAAGATGATCGCTCTGGCCTCTCTGTCTGCCTGTCAGATGTTTTCTGTGCCAGGCTTTCTGAGCGCACAACAAACCAAACGCTTTGGGAGGCCTCTCATTCGAGCAGCACTTTTTTTTGTCCTCCTTGGCCTGATCTCATTTTCTCAGTGGCACCTCGTCTGCGTAGAAAACCGCAGCTGTTCTTGTGTGACACTGAAGGGGAGAGATGGAGGGAAACGTTCAGCAGAAGCACTAGCGGCAGAGTCAGGTGTGGTGACCTTGGAGATTTCTATCTTGAAAGCGTCACAGCCACTCCACCGAGGCTGCAATGGATAGGAGTCAGACCCACACCTCAAGCCAACAGAGGTTGACGAGATTGGAGTGGGGCACGTTGTTTCAATACCCAAGGACCTTTCACACTCATGTACAGACACACACACCAAGTCCATGCTTTTTTGGCTTGTAAAGACAAGAGGTTTTTTTGTCTTAAAGGATAGGATTACATTTTTTCAAGTCTGTCTTTAAAACAACACTCACATGCACATTTGTACAATGAAACAGTGTACAGGGACTGGTTGCTGTAAGTGTTCCTTCTTTTCATACTACGGCAATTTCAGTGTAAGTGATGGGGAACACAATCCACAGCCCTTGTTCAGCTGGAGCTACTATGAGGGTTCAGCAGTCTGAGTTAATCAAATCAAATAGATATCTTCCAAAGTCACAGCCTTTTTTTGTACCAAATTCCCTCTTTGTGTGTCCACGGTGTTTTATTGGTGCAGCGAGAGAAAAAAAGACTTGAGTTTAAAAGATAATCACTTAATGAGACTAACTCACACTGTTGAACTTCAAAATACATATTTGCACAGAATGAAGGCCGCGGATTTGCCCTCCATCACTTACATTGGAATTTAGGAAGGGCTCTCTTCAAGGTCAGCATGGAAAAGAGAAACAGCATCCAATAATACCTTTAATGTACATTTAAATGTTTTTGTTTTTGTTTTAAGGCTGAGTTGAACAAATATTAACCTATCCTTAAAGGAAAAAAAAATAGATGAAAAGCTTCCCAAATTCTTGGAGGACAACAAAGCTAGAAATCTGCTTGAAAAGTGATTACAAACCTTCGGGCATTTGGAGCTACAGCACATTTTTGTTGATATGATCCTGCGGTCAGATGTGTCTCCAACTAATGAGGCGTGGCATATGTGGCCATGAAATAAAAGGGCAGTCTGTTCTATTTTTAAATTGGGAGTTTTAACCAGATACTGTGGCTGTGCCTGCAGCAGCACAATCCTTCTATAATTTTTTTATTATTTTTGTATATACAAGCCAGATACAACCCAACCACCACCAGTGCCAGCACCAGCAGTGTTATCAACTCATCTGAATATATTTGAACGCTGCACTTAGGAGTCTGTAGCAGATATGTTATGATTAGTAGGCCTATGCAACAATATGCAAGCTGGCATTCCTTCCACATGAGGGGGGGGTGAGAGAGAGAGAGAGAAAAAAGTAAAGCTCTCCAAGACTTTAAGTCAGTCGGGTCTCCATAGCAACTAGTAGACTAGGGACATCTGATAGTGATAGGAGAATAAATAATATTTGTGGTCTTGTCTTAGAGGAATGCCATTGGGTGTGAGCAGATGGGCACTTGCAAAATAAAGTAGAGGTTTAATAAATGAGATGTGGATTCAGGCGATCTGAGAATTGATCACCCGAGCTCGTAAAACAATCCCTCCTCTAATAAAGTGAAATATTTTGGGAGAGGGTCTATCTACGTCCTCAGACAGAGACGTTATACCTGACTGGAGCTTGATGGAAAGGAGGAGATTGGTGGGACGTCCAAAATCTTCAGCTCATACATGTTCCCGTTCAGTATGACGGAGGGTCTGTACACATATCTGGTCCTGGTTGGCGTGTACACCTCCGAGAAATCGTTATAGATGAACTGGCGGATTATAGAAGTTTTCCCCACTCCGGGAGCACCGATGACAGCGATACTCAGCGTCTCCACCATTCCTGAAGCACGAGTTCAGCACCATGGACAGCGACGACGACAACGACAGATATGACCGTCCAGATATACAGCTGGCCGCCGCTGTTTTGTTGCTGCTCTGGTTGAATCTCAATCCACCGCTGCCCCTTTAACCGGCAGCCTATAAATCACCGGAACCGGGTTCAACTGCGTGCAATTAGACGAGCCAATGGCCGAACGGATCATCCAACCGTCGAGCAGAGCGAAGAAACTTTATCTCCAGGCTGAGAACAGAAAGGAGCCATGCAGCTCGGAGGTGGTCAAAAACAAAGCTCCATCATGATCACACAGATGGAGGGATTTTCGCTGCCTATGCAATCCAACCAAGAGAGAGAAACTCTTGGTTTTCAGGGGACATCCCCAGGCGACCTCGTCCCCCTGAGAGGAAGAGTAAAAGTCCGTCCTTGTTGTCTCCACATCTCACCCAGGCTAGACTCTGACCTTGTCCACACGCACAGGAGCCCTAGGCGTCTTCATTGATTATCTCCTCTGCACCTCGCACTCACTTCCACGGATGCACCACCACCGCGCTCCTCCATCACAGGGAGGACGGGCGCTCAGCCGCCAGCCTCGCAAATACGCTTCCCACGTGTTCTGAGATCGCACACAACCCCATAATCCCCTTCTTTTGTCGATGGCAGAGAGATAGACTTGCGTGCATGTGATTCAAAAGAGGAGAGGCAATCCACACACCCTGCAGACGTGTGTTTTCTGTAAAGGCATCTGGAGCCTATTAAGGAGCATTGTGTGTCTGCAGTTGGAGAGACATGCGCTGGTGAAGACTGCTTGCTCTCTCTCTCTCCCTCTCTCTCATCACTTGCAACAGTCCCTGCGCTGCTCATCCAATAGGATCATGCCTGCGCAAGGCGTGTAAAGGCTTTGAGCTCCCATACGCCGCACATAAACGGCAAAGCAATAGGCCATGGCACCCACTATACATCATCTCAGCGTGAGGGACATGGAGAAGCGGCGCAGGACTGAACATCCAACCCGACATCATACCTCTGAGGGACACAAGAGAGTCCTCGGGCAGGACAGGGCCGATGAGTCCCATCAATCACTGCTGGATGACAGCAGTGACAGTCTCAGTCGGAGGAATAAACATTTTGCATGTTATGGCCCCTCAGAATAACTGGAGATGAGCTTGTAACCTCGTCATAGGAACAGTTTTCCAGTGCAGCACCACTTTCTACAAGATCCCGTTTACAAAGTGTTTATAAGTTATAACTAATGGCTTTATTAATGCTTAATACAACGTTTACGAATGCGTTTTGCCTTCATTCTAAGATATTAATAACAACAACATGGTCGGTGTTTAATCAAGGCTTGATTACCTAAGCTACAAATTTCCCTGCATGGGGCCCCCATGGGTCTGAAGCCCACATAGCCTATTCAATATGTAGCAGTTACTTTGTAGGCATTTTACTGATTGCAACATTATGATTATTATCTAATTATTATCCATTCTCAAGTCCCTAAATTTGTCTTTTATCATGTCATCACAAATTTATTGCCTCAAAGCAAACATGAGGGCAGGGCAGGAGCACTGTTTGGCTGCTGAGTCTGCAGACCACAGTAACTGGATTGGGAAGACCACGTGGGCAACTACTGTGTTTATTCTCTGTTTGGTAATAATGCTTTACCCATTAATAAACACTGATTGGGTTCTCACTTTCTAATAAGCCATCAGGTCTGCAGTTATAAGTGTTAGTGAGACATTAATAAAGATTTTGCAAAAATGCAAAATTTTCAAGTGAAAACTCTCCCTGATGAATTAAAGAACTTTCTAAAACACAAAGCAAGTGTCCTGCTGCAGGAGAAAGAAGGAAAGTTTCACACAGGTTCTTTCTGTCATCTTCTATCTGTTCAATCTGTAAAGCAGATGACTCATTAACTACTTAGAAAGTCATTATTTAAACATTTATAAAAGGCCTCTTATTTAAAAGTCAAAGGTCATAAACGACAAATCTACAAAAAAATCCATTGGAGCGGCATTAAAAGCCAAGTCATGGACATCTTAAATGTGTCAAAGCAAGAAAATGTCAGTGAGTACTTTTCATAATTCAAACAGAATTTCCTGCTAACACTTCTGTACTTCTATTTAAGTATGATTCTGAATGCAAGACTTTTACTTGTAGTGGAGTAATTTTACACTGAGGTACTGCTACTTTAACATAAATAAAAGATCTGAACACTTCTTCCACCACTGGTTATAACCCATTTATTAGTTTGAATACTGCTTATATACTAATATTAGGCAGGGGGCTGTAAGTGGTACTGTAAATTGGCTGATTTTAGGCTGATAAACAAATAAATAAAACAGTATTTAGCCTGTTGGGAAATAAACTGCACATATGATTGAATAACATGAAATACAATTTGTTGTCTTTTCGGCCTCTGAATTTCCTAAATCCTGGCTTGAGCCCTGGTTACACTATTGTAAATCTATTTTACAGTGTAGAAACACAAAAATCACTTCCGTGGTATTAACTTATGTCAGTGGTTTAGAAGTCAAAAATGGTTCATTTATACGAACTGAGCCTTTACCAAATTGCAGTTCAGTGGTGCCCCCTATTGGAATGCATTCATCACATAGGATCGATATTACAGATCATTCATTAATAGAAGAGACTCGTCACAGCTTTGGCCTTCTGACTCCTCTCTGGCCAGTAAGTCTGCATCCTTGAATCCAGCCGACCTTTAACATTCACAGAGGAACAGATCTGAGCTGAGGGGAGCTTGTCTTCCCAATTAGGAGATGCAGTCAGTTGAGGTTTCCTAAGCAGCTCGCCTTTTAAAAGACCCTGTCAAAGCTTCAGAGGAGCTGCTCCGCCTTGACATTGCACTCGGCTGTGGATAAACCTTCACTCATTGCTCAAGGTTGAACAACAGAGACTTTGCATGCAAATCTGTGATGGGCTGCCCAATTCTGTTAACTGGAGCAGTGCTGAGAAGCCCATGAGAAGAGGCGCCTCAAAGGTCATCAACGATTAGAAAGTACAGAGCGTGAAAGCAGTGAACGCTGGCTTTCAGAGACTTTGGGGATGTGAACTTTGCCAAGCAAATACAACCAAAATAACATTTTGCATCCTCTGACACTGGGACTTTGGCATTGGCAGACTGCGCCACAGAAACAAACTGACTGTTCACTGCATATTTTACTTTTTTTTTCTTTTTTTCCCCCCATTCTGTCTGAAGAAAAGACCGAACATGTGAATTTATCAAGACTTTTAATAGTTCTTTTTCAAACGATGCACACACGACAAACAAAAATCATGTTAATCTAAATCATCTGATTAAACATCTGATTTGTTTTGTTTGTTTTACAGCATTTCACAAGAATCAGCCGTCACCACATACAAAGACACACTCAGAATACACAGCCACCTCTCTTTACAAGGTGTTAAAGGAGATGCAAACATCCTGTAGAGCCGATAAAAAGGGCTTCAGTGTACTAACTCGGGGGGGGGGGGGGGTGAACAATTAAACTAGTCGAGTCTGCAGGTAAAACAGGGACACTGGATGTTGTTCTAGCCTTCTGTAAGCTAAGACCGTGTGTTACCTACATGTACACTTATTACTTAGAAGTGTTACAAACCATGACAACACAAGAGTAATCTCACCTGAGCCTTCATCTCAGGTGGCCACGGTACTCTGAAAGCTGCAATGAGGATACAGAGAGAGCAAAGTGGCACAGAGAGAGAGAGAGCCCAGGCGGCCGTCACTGACGCAGGTGGAAGCAGCAAATACAAAATCCTGAACACCTGAGGCTCTCTCTCAGTGTGCCACATGTACACCAAACAAGACTACAACACAAATTAAACCATGGAATGACTTCATAAGAGAGCAGGCAGTGGACAACCGCTGCTACTCCAGAAATTCTGTCAAAACAAAAGAAACACACACACAAACAGTTTCCACGCGCACACATCAGACATTCTGCTTTCAGAGACAGCAGAGGATCTGATCCCACTGCTAACCACAGACACTCAAGAAAACTCTACAAAATGACAAAGACAACAATAATGTAGTTTTTTATCCGTCTCTTCTAAAAAGACGCAGACAGCCACCTTCCACTTCCCACAAGCGGACGAGGGGTAAGGAGAGTTAAAGCCTTTTTCTGCCGCATTTGAAAGTACCCCAAATAAATGCGCCGACAGTGATGATTCACCTGCTGATTGGAGACGCTAAAAATAGACACTAATTTGCAGAGAAGTGGGGCCAGATAATGATTAAAGAGCCTCTAGCAGAGAAAACAGTCACAGGAATGCAAGTCATACAGCTGTCTGCCTCCAAAAGAATGAAGGTCATGACATGATGGCTCAGGTAGGGAAGAAACTGAAATGTGTGTTGAACATACAAGAGGGGACAAGATAGCCAAGACAGTGAACCAGACTTTTCTGCAGTCTTAAGAATAATAATAAAAAACTATCATGGGTCAAAATGGGTCAGAAGTCATTATTAACCACCCTAATTAAACTGCTGGATGACATACAGAGTGCAGCCTCCAGGCCCAACACAGCACGAAGCGGCTCTTGCACTGCGTGAGCTTGTAACATGGTTCATCGGTCAGGTGAGGGAGAAGGTGCCAGGATTCTGTGAGGGCAGCGGCCGGGTCCATGTGTGGGTGTTTTCAGTTCTTCAGTATTGCCTCGTAGCTCTGGAACACACACTGGGAAACCTCTGGAGCTCTGCACTTCAGAGAGACCTGATAGAGAGAAGAGTCGGGCAGGGAATGAATATGATTTGACTTAGAAGCTGGTATGTTACAATGTTTTAAAAGAGACGTGTTTCAGGAACGCCCGCTGTGGGACGTACAGTATGGAAGTTACCACAGGAAACAAGTCACATAAACCTTTAACAACAAAATACACCAAAGAAGCTATATGATAATATACCTAATCATGTGGAGACACAGTAGCTTATTCAATGACAAGCCATATTCCAAAATTGAGAGAAATGTCAAGCAGAATCAAGTTAATGAGAGAATGATATTTCCAGGAGACAAATTCATTCAGATGAGGGAAAAAAAGGAGTTTTGGATTGAAACTCGCGTCATTTCGCAGATAGACATACATAGAGAAATATAGATACGTAGACACGCTAGAGAAAATAAGAGGCAGCCTCTCCACTCTTTGATGTTAGGCTCAGCTGGGAGCAGCTTTAGGATTTGATACCCCCCACCCCCCCACTGCCATCAGCAATCATACTGCAGATGTTATTTCGTCAGACCCAGAAACACACACAAGGAGACAGGAAACACAAGGCAGCTGGAGCTTTGGAATAATTCTATCAGGACAGAAATTGTCATGGTGTTGCAGTAAACACTTAAATGCAAAAAGAATATTTCAAAATGTTTCACATATTAATTGCTGCACAATCAAAACCAGCTGTTTCCTCTAATGAAATGGATGCCTTAATAACCCACGTGTCTGATGTGGGAAAAGTCCACACACACACACACCCCCATCCATCTCTGTCCACAAGGAGCAGCTCTGCCTCGCGCTCGCTGTTGTTCTTTCAGCTTTCATCACTGTCATTTCTTAGAATCACATTTGTTCCAGTGGAAAATAGTTCGGGGGGGGTCACAGCGAAAGCTTTGCTGAAGATAGCAAGAACGGGCGCTCTGCGACTGGTTCTGAGCATTAAATACCAATAAAGCAGAAAGACGAGAACCTAAAAACAACAATGTCCAGGGAACGTCCTGCTGAGTTTTAAATATCTGCATTTCGTTCTTTTATTTCTTTGATTTAAATAAATATTTATTTTTGCTGACAGCAGAGAGCTGGCAGGGAGAGAGTGATGAGGTCCTCAGTAGGTCAACCTCATGACAATTACAAAGTACTGCTTTCGGTATTTAAGCCCTCACATGTCTGTGGGAAAATGGGATATAATATCAATATTTTTTCAACATAAGTTAAAATATCCCATATTCTGACAACACTTTAATGTTTACTCTTTGAGACTAGCACCATTAGTATAATCACAGTGATCGAGATTTGGTGAGTGACTGGTGTGAAATTCACACCAGGCTTGAGCCTCGACTCAATGTTTAGACCACACAAAGGGGATGGAGTGAGTTGTGATGGATGCCACAGAGCTGCAGTGGGAAAAAAAAGCAATAATAATGTACAGCTCCTTAAGTGTTACCTCTGTGCACTCAGGGCTCTTTACCATTGCATGCTACTGCTGCTGCTGGCCACATTTAGACAGCTGCTCTCCTGTCAGCATGGGGGGGGGGGGGGGGTGAGGAAATGCAGATCTGTGTAGGGGCTGCTATTAAGAGAGCTAGAAACTGCAGCACACGTGTGTTCAGTCAAGGCTTGCTGCTAAAATATTAGTATTATATCAGCAGTGACACATTCACCTATGGGGGAATGTAATACCGGTACAAGGGCAATGAAATGGACAAAAAAAGCAACAGGGAGCTACAGTAATGATGAAGCAGGGTACGTGGATTGAGAATTCTTATTTTTAATTCAGCTTTGTTTCATCATCATCATCAAGATAATGAACTTCAAGAATCAAGGTGTTTACGTAACTCTGTGTGTCTAATGCTTAGTTACAAAAAAATGGCGCAATCATGTGTGATGCAGGTTTTTCTTTTAAACCAAAATCTCCTGACAGCCTGAAAACACTGCAGGAGTCTGTAAAAACCTGCATAAATTGGGACCTGGAAGTTCTCTGATGCAACACCGCAATCGGACAAAAAAGGTGACCAGTCAATGCATTATTTGATGAAATGATGTGTATTGTGATGCTAACATTTGATATATATTACTGGGCAAAAGTTGTTCAATAAATCAGAATGCAGTCTAATTGTTTAGATCTTGTCCTGTATCATTAAATTGATCCTTTTAACGTGTCAACGTGTACACTTAAGGTGGGCAATATGTATAAAATCCTCTGCCATGGTGTAAGTCACTTTACATTGTCATACAGAACATTTTCTGGAATCAATTAATGGATGAAATAAGCTGATGGCCGTGTCTGTTTTTGGTTAATTCAGTTAATTTAACAGCTGAGAAATAAAGGCACTTCATCATACTGGGCAAAAAAAAAATCTATAAAAACCCAATAATAGCACACAGCAGTCCTTCTCATTGATTTGTAACACTACCCACAAAGGTCTAATTCTGAGGTATTAAAGGGATGGATACAACAGTATGATGATGTTGCAAAATCTCTCTTTACATAGTATTATGGTATATAGATGTTCCTACTTTTGACCCCAAAACAGACTTGTGAGAAAACACTCGCTCTATGCTTGTGTAGAGGAACGGCAGATATGTTTGTGTGTAGGGCAGCACATCCATTTCCGTGTTGAAACTCACTTTAACCAAAAACCCCTCGAATTACCAGCTCAAGAGGTGGGGAGAGAAAATCATCCAGTTGCCATGGGGACAAGAAATAGCGGAGAACACCATGCTTCACGTTAAAAAGTTAAGTAGTGTCCCAAATCTCTACAAAAAGTATACATGAGCTCTGATGGAAGTCAGTGAAATTAAAAGAGCTTGTGAGAAATGAATATTTTAGATTGTGGATTTTGAGATGATTAGGACTTTTTGTCTTAAACTCTAGAAATAAGTTTCTTTTAAGTGTGTTAACAGTCAAGATCAACGTGTCATTCTTTAAAAGGGGGCAGTGACAACAACTTAGTTGGGTTTTTTTGTTTGTTTTTTAAGTACATTAACATGACTGTGAGCTCAGGATTGCATATAGGACTGTCTGCTAAATGGCAGAATTTAATCAATATTTACATGAGGTCACCATGAATTTGGCTCTTTGTCACTTGAGAGCAGTTAAGGGAGAGAGATGCTGAATGTCTTAAAGCGGTTACAGAACAAAGATGCACCGATTGCAATTTTCCTGTCCGGTCTGACCTGCCGATTCCAATTCACTGTTTTTATTCTACTTACTTTATTTTAGTGTTTACTCCCAAACTGTTTCAATCTGCTCACCTTGCTTTTCCCTGCAGACACACACCTACACCGGTCTCTCTCTTTGTCTCTTTCTCCCCCTGTATCTGTCCGGTCCGTTGACTTAAGCTTAAGCTTTTACATCACTCTCATAGACCTGCCGTGGGACTGCAGATGAAAATGCAAACTAAGGTACAATTAATCAAATAGTAACATTTATATGTTTTATATTGTACACAGTCCCATTACAAGTAAAACAGTTAAACAAAAGAGGAGTGGAACCCGATACAGTACGAAGGAGACCCCACTGTTTTTGGCCGCAGCAAGCAGCTGTTTTCAGCGAGAAAACTCCCTGAACACTCCCTGCTCAGCACCAAACGGCAGACAGACACGGTTAGCGACTAGCTGGTGAACACAGTGAAGCATTTAGCAGCTGAAAGAGTCAGATGTAATAGTTTGTTTTCTCAATATCTTTCATGAGCCATCCACCATAATTGAATTTTCCAACTGTAAGTACTGTATTTTCATTGTGCATTGCATTGAGTGGTAATGGTCTCCATTAACACGATTGCTAACCCAGCTAGAATCAGTATGGAGTGTGTAACTGGGACAGAGTTATAAGTAGTGAGGCATCATGGGAGAGCTGAAGCCAATCAAGTTTTGGGAAACGAGAAAAGTCTTAAAACAGCATGGGTAAGCAGCAGCAAAAAGCTAACACGCCACTATACGTCTCCGCTCATGGCAATGAATAATAACCGTTTTTATGTCTTGTCTTCAGAAGCACAATAAATATCCCGAAAATACGCGGAGGCAGGGCTTTACTTCTTCAGGTCTAAAAATAGCTGCTGACAAAAGGCTTTAGCAGCTTGGCTTTAATGTGCCGTGCCAAGAGAGTGCAGGGACCACGCAGGAGCCAGCAGCTCGGAGAGACGAGCATCAGAGTACACATGCAGCACAGTTAACTTGAAAGTCTAGTCTTCTCTCCACTAAACAATTTATGATCCATCTGCAAAAAGTAGGGGAGCCTTTCCAGCCCCACTGAGGAACAGTTTGAACTTAAAAATGAACATGAAATTAAAATGACAGGAGGAGTACAGAACAGAAACTGCTTAAGGTGGACGAGAAAAACATCCTGAATTAATGAGGTTGTGCCAGAAATGGGCAGGGGAACAGGGCACAGGGGAAATAAAAATGCAACTAATCAAGAAAACGAAAAATGCACATCACCTCCAGCAGGAACAAATGACACAAAATAAATACTCTACAAGTAAATAAGTTAAAATCAGCATTCATTTCCATCTCATACTGAATCTCAAGTTAGTACTCCGTAAGTCATATTTTTCATATACATGTTGGCGCCCTAAACTGAGGAAGCGGGAACCAATTTAAAATTCAGAAGATTTGATGCACCTGAGCTGGGTGACAGGAGACAAAATGACAGTTAATGCCACCTTATAAATAAAAACATGACCTGAAAGCAGACTAAAGGGGCGGGGGTGTCACACCAAGGTTATCATTCTGGACTAGTCATGCAGAATTTCTAAGCCAAACACAATCCATCAAGAGCGGAGACCGTGGTGCGCTGACAAAGACAGGCTACAAAAACAACAGAGAACACAAACGTGCACACACACACACACACACACACACAAATGACTCACCATTACCAGCGACACACAATCACTGCACAATCAACCAGCCTCCCCCTTCAGCACTCACCATTCATTTCTGCACATCAATCCCCGCCATGTTTCTGCATGTTCAGATCAGCCTCGGCTACATCATTTGTCTTTATCCATGACGTGCAGTGATGACAGTATTTTGTTAATTCCGTCGTACTGACTTAATTCAACACATCAGGCTCTACTTTGGGTCTTTCCTTAACTGTATATGGGACCGTACATTAGTGAGACTGGTGCAGTGCTCGTTCACAGGGGCTGATGTGACGCCTCCCTGCGCTTTTTAGATTGTACAATGCAGTGATTGTTCAAAATGTGCGTCTGACATTGGTTTCACCTACATTATTAATAACACAGCATGAATGACACTGAAACAACACGACAATGGTGGAGATATTACTAGATAGTCAGTGCTTCCTTACAACTTTCTTACAACTCCATTTCAACACATTTGTTTCTAACATATATTAGTTCTGCGTGGTGACAGAACTAAAGCGCAGCCCGCACCAGTCTGCTCTGCGCTGTTCCCTAGTATATTTATTCATTCATTCTCGCGTGTCCAAATTGCACCAAACACGACTCCCTTGGGTCCACAGCAACACACCCACCACGAAGTCGTTTGGATGAATGGTTCTTGACATAATCGAAATACAAACACACACACAGAATTCTGCCTTTATTTCCAGCCCCATGTCTTGTAATAGTATCTGCTCTCCTGTAATACTAATGATGTAAAGATCTGCTTGCTCCTCCTTTTTTTTTTTATTTATTCATTACATGAAATTTTGAAACACCTAGTAGACTTTAAAAGTCTACAAATGATGTTTACACGAAGTGTTTTGTATTTTACTGAGTATCCAAGTTTGTTTTCAATGAAGGAGAGCAGGTAACCATTATGGGGACATTACATGTTTGAAAAACAGACAGTAACGACAAATTAGAGAAATAGATGCGTTATGAATGTAGTTAAAGAAAATGTTCAAAAATATTCTATTTGAAAGATGCAAAATATGTAACCAACAAAGAGAAATGACTGAATTATGATTAGTGTTTCTTTTGTTTATCTGTTTCTGTTTAATGCTTGTGTGTTTCTTTATCATTATTTATTTATTTTGTTTCAATGCTGCTTTGGGTAGAGCAAGGGTAAAAAAAAAAAGTTAAGTATCAAGTGTAGGCACAATAAGATTAGGCTTAAGCCTACACTTTTTTTCCCCAGTCAGAGAATAAAATGTTTACTGTTTGGTAATTTGTTGTTACTGTGTATAATTGACCAAGTCAAGTTTCACATCTTCAACAGAAGAAGCGGTTTCTAAATATGTTGCAGGTATAATAATGTTAACAAATTGAAACCACATTCACACACATAGAACATATGTTGCCTTGTTAAACCTCTTCTTATCAGTGCCTCAAAACTTAATTCCCCATAATCCTGACTTTATTAAAGAAGTTGGACACCATACGTTACAAGAGGTCTTTGAAATGGTGTTCTCTGATAAAATAATAAAGGTCCTTACTAGGGCTGATTAATCGTTTTCTAATAAAAATTGTGATTTGAAAGAACGATTACCTTATCGTGAAGAAGTAGGTGAATTATACAGCGCATCTGACCCGTTTTAAAATAGTCGTGCAGTTACAGATTCATTACGTTGTCATCCTTGTGTGACAGACCTGGGCCCTGTTTCAGAAAGCAGGTTCAACAAACTGAGTGTAAACCTGAACTCTGGGTTTACGAACTCTGAGCTGTCAAACTCAGAGTTTCTGGTTACAGAACAGGTGTTTAAAATTAGTTCAGTCAACTCTGAGTATGTTGAACCTGCTGGAAGCAAGTACGTAGGGATGAAAAAAAAGCCATCATCAGTGGAGCTCCGATACTAAGATTCACCATGGCAACGGGTAAATAAAGGCAGAGCTTCCATTTTAATCGGGTGGAGCTAGAAATATGAATGCGTGTCAACGCGGACCATGATAGGCTCTAGAACGCAGGAGTGGAGGAAGGATCGATACGTTAGCAATATTACATTTTATACAGCGTTGCTCATTCATCATTTACCAGACTGGAATTTCCTTAATGAAAGATAAAGTGCTGGAATTCTCCTACAGCCTGTTATTCATTTTAAATAGCTACAGTCCTGTTTATTCAGCTGTAACCTGACGGGACTAAATGCCGGTGGCAATGAAAATATTAAATCAAACAGATTAGACAGTTTAGGCTACTCATGGACCTGTGATTGTAAAGTGACAGTCCGACTCAGTAGGGCTTTGGCTAATATTGGATATTAATGATTTTTTTTTGAAGCGGAAAATGTGTCTGGGTTCAAACTGACTGTGAAGTTTTAGACGTCTATGTTACATAAATAAAATCTTGCTCATTTCGTATTTTATGAAATGCTGTCAAAACACATTCAGACTATCAACAGATAATGAAAAACTCACTTTTAAACTACATTTATTTGTTTCAGCTGCACCACAGTCATCCTCACTCTGAAATATTCACATCATATCCAGTTGATAACTACAATAGGAATGTTCAATCTGTGCGACCACATTATGAAAGGTTACTGTTCATTGATCAGTTTTATACACATTAGTTTAAACAGTATACTGCAGTACTGTAGCGCACGGTAAGTGTTTTTGTGCAACTGTTGCCAACCTGACAGCTGCCTTAAAGTCCACAAAGTCACTGAGTTATAAAGGATAGTAGCTTAAAGATTTTATTCTATGCTGAGGATAAATTTTCGATGTCCAAAGATAACTCTGTCCATACATCGATGACAGATTGATCATAAAAGCTGTCATGTTCAAGATCATGTTTGTGTAAAAAAAAAAAAAAACTTATTTAACCGTGATTTCAATGTTTCTAAAAACGCAATTGCGTTCATATATGTGCTTTGATATCGACAGTCTGAATGAGGAAATGTCACACACCCTCAGGCTCCGCAGGAGGGGAGGAGTCAGAGAGAAACTCAGCATTAGTTGAAGTAAACCTCCTCTCGAGCAGGTTAGGTTCACAGACCTAGAGTTTCAGAGCGTGTACATTTTACAACAAACAAAACTAGAGGAAAACGTGTGGGATAATGGGGTCAGCTGAACATACACAGGCAGCGGTTGTGCTGCGGTTTTGTCCACTTTCAACTCACACTGAAGTGTTTCAGCAACGGAGCGTTTAGCACACACGTTGTTAATTTGTCATTTTGTGTGCTTCAACTACAGATAACAGCTCTCTCTGTGTGCCGTTCCTTTCTCTGCAGGCTAACATTACATACCCACATTTGGAGCGTTTTGCCCGTCTGATTTTGCTGAGTTATTCAGATTTTGCTTATTTGTTCAGTTGTCCTTGATTTTTGTGCTTCTTCCAAGGTTAAGTAGGCTATGTAGTTAAACTGTGTCTTTTTTTGGTCTGTTTTAACTGTGTTTATTGTTGATGTACGATCAGGAGTTTTTATTTTGAAAATCGACCGGATTACCTATGCAGTTCTGTGTCTGACTTCCTGCTCTGTGCTGCTTGACAGGCTGGCAGCGAATACTGAACTTTAGCAAAACTTCAATAAAAAAAATAAAAAATTGAACCGTAATTGCAACATCTGGCAGAAAAATCGCAATTAGATTTTCCCCCCAAATCAAGTCCGAACTGTCTCTTAACCGCCATTTCTTGGCTATATAGTGATATGACTCAAACTCTTGATTTCAGCTAATACAACTAGTATAGTACTCACTGTGTAGTTTGGGTTTCCTGTCTGCACCCTGAGCTCAGCCAGCACCCAGATGCCATTAGTGAGTTTCATCGACTGATACAGCATGTCCTGACCCTCCACTGTGCGTTTGGCTATGGTGAAGACATTGCTACTCTGCAGTTTGTTGGAAACTGCATCTGTTGAGGGAACATAAATCAGAAATTAACACAACACAGTCAACATTTTAACTCAACTTATACCGTCCTTACTATCTGAAGAAGCTACTGTTCAATTTTAGTTTTCAGTTTCAGTCAATTAAATGTAACAGACATTACAGGATTTCTTTTTCCCGTATCATCACCTAAAATTTCACTCCAGGCTGTCTGTGCAGCAAAGATACAGTCACTAATTTGGAATAATCTTTTCTACTCCGCTTCGGTCTTCCTGCTGCGCCCCAGTAGGATGCGTAACTCTCTCTCTTTGTTCATGGAGAAGAAATTTAATCTGTGGGGGGAAATCTCCATTAAGCTGTCATTTTAAATTCTTCCCCAGTTCAGCTGCTCTCATGCTTAGGTAAAACTAAATTATCACACGTAAATAGGGACTGCAGCTGATGAGTTCTCATCAAATGCAATTTGCTTCATTAGCGGGGATGTAGCGAATTTGTGATTGCCACTGCTCTGTCGGGCCATTTTCAAATATAAAGAAGCTGCAGTATCTGGCTGCACAGTGTAGTGTTTTTCAGGTAATGCACTCTGTTCTCTTTTCATCCTTCTCACCTGAGTTGAGATGGCAGTCTTTGATTTGAAACTGGGACTCGTTGTCATTAGGAATGTCTTTCCATGTGGCGAGGAAGACCTGTCGCTCTGTGGATGAAGAGACACGATCACTGGATGAGTCCAAAGACAGAGCACAGACTGAAATGTACACAGTTTGAGAATAACAACAGGATTTTTGGTCAAAAGTAAACGTACACACTGCAGTGATTAAAAAAAGTCAAAGCAGCGTGTGAGTGGACTGATTCTACACTAGATACAAGGTTTCCTGCTGCGGCTTCGGAGCATTAGCTTGCAGCCTCTTGCGGCAGTCCTGCTGCTAGCCCCGTTAGGAGGCTCCTCGAGGAGAAATGCCAACACGTTTTCACAGAAAAACATACCAAACAGCAACACACACAAAAAAGGTACAATCTCGGAGCAACTGTGTAGCCCAGAGAGGCGAACGAGTCCAGTCAGGCGGACAGACTCACACACATCTACATCACGAACTTCTTTACATGCTCACAATGTGCGCTCACTGAAAGACTGACATCTGGGTATGTCGTTGACGTCAGCAGGGTTCTGAAGCTTTTGAGTGAAGAGATTTAAGCTGAAAAACACTCACCCATCTTCCCATCCTCTACAAACAGCATGCTGATGGGGTACTGGCAGCTGAAGTAGAATACGTCAATGTTGTTCTTAACAGCCACCTGAGAGAGTGATTACATCCGGGGAAGGGGCAGAGGAGGACGACAGGAGGAGAAACAAGAAGCAGTATATGGGTAATTACTTTTCAAGTGCCCTTGAAGGAAAGGCATTGCTGGTTTGTGTGCTGTTTACTGAACAAGAGGCTCAAGTCCTTTGGGCATCTCACTTTCTCACATAGGCTATAGTATTGCCTACAATATCATCAATGACATCCATGTTCTTTACTGGTCTCCCATCATAGTGTATCTGACAGCAAGCATGAGGCTTATTCTTTTTGCCAACAAATTTTAGCAACAATCTTACCTACAGCTATATTTATCAAAACTAACTTTTTCTATAAACTGCCTTTAGAAAGTGCTTTACAAAAGGATAGAAATACTAATGAAAATATAAAAAGGAGATAAGAATAGCAGACAGTGGTTGAAAATAAAATACCAAAAATAAAAGATGAGAAAGATAAAAGACAAGACAGTGAAGTGAGAGAAAACAAAAATAGCACATAAGAGCAGGTCTTTATTTTCAAAAACAAAGAATCAATTTGTTAGCCTAAGCTCTCTCCTAAGCTCCCTCAGGCAGGGCCCGTTGACATTCTATGGGCCCTGGTGGCAAATGTACAAGACACTGAAACCCGAGAACAACTGTGGTATAAAGGAAGCACCCGAAGTAACAAGCGGTAGCCTGTGATATTGATCAGGCTGCTCAACAAAGAAGTGCTGAGAGAAGGACAGTGAGTTCGGTCAGAGAATAGCAGATGAAGGACTTGTGAATAATTCATTAGGGCATCTTATTCCAGGGTGCAATGCAGGACTGCCAGTAAAGCGGCGAGTCATACACGAACAACACAGAGCTTCATTCTGTATGTTTATAATAGAGCTCTTATAGTTTACAAAGTATAAGAGGAGGTCAGACACCACAACGCTACTGCACGATCACTTCAGGTCTTGTGTGTTGGACTGACTTAATCTACTAGACTAGTGGTTCCAAAAGGCCTCTCTTTTACACACAAAGACATTTTTGTGCTCCCCAATACTTTCATACCCTTTCTGAAGTACCGTTCACATTCTGAGTGGCATTATGTGTCTTAAATGGTTCACATCCACAATGACCTTTGAAGCCAAGGCTTATAGCAAAGAACACTTCTGTGCCAGAAGTGAGTTCAGGGGTTAGGAGAAAGAATGGAAACATTTACTAATTGAATGAACATGTGTATTAACACGACTGATTCAAATAACAAACAATAACAAATTGTGCAAAGCAAACAAAAAAGTAAGTACATTTTATTTCCTGATATGTTTGGGATTGGAAGACCAGGGAAACTGTAAAACTGACATCTCGCATTAAATGTAATATTGTAGTCCTGTACTTGTTAGTGAAAATATATCGATTGTATTATTAATTAGTGCACGTATATATCAAAAGATCTCCAGTGCATTTCATTTTCATTTGCCCCCAGCCTCTCCACAAAATGCAATCCTGGAGTCGATCTAAGATGCTGCCGCAATTTCGGCCCAGTACTGGAGAAATTTAAGCCCTTTGAACCAAAGCTGAAAACATAAGCCGATGGACAGAAAATGAATCAGCAACAACACTGATAATTGTTTGTGTCATTTTTAACTAAACTGTAACTTCAAAAATTATTTGGTTTCAGCATTATATGCCTGTTTTCTAACAAAACAAGCTCTCTGAATTAGTCTGAAAATTGTCATGGATATTTTTAACTTCTTTTGACCATATACAATCGAGAAAATAACTGACAAATGAATCTATAATGAAAACAATCCTTAGCTGCGCCAGCCTTAACTCAAGACCATCACAGTAACATCAGGCTAGGCTGCTTTTTGGAATTCCTTTACTACCGAATAATCATACTGTATATGTCCATTCCTCTACATGCAAACCTGACAAAATCACTTTGACGTCTTTAAATTGAACTGCTGTCATTGCAGAACGGCATGAAACTTGCACCCAAAGTTGCTGATGCATCTCCCTGAAGTGTGCCGATATGTGATGAAAGAGTTCTATTGACTGTGGCGGTGTACAAGCGTCTACTGGTACTACACATCAGTAGAATAAAGAGCACCCAAAATAATTTTCCGGGACATTATCTTCCATCAAGACAAAAACAACTCAAAAGGCTCTTAAAATAAAATATCTGAGAAACTGTCAAAACAGACTATAATACCCATCAAAGCAGCGCCCAGAGGCAGCAGAATAGAAAGGTTAGCAGAGCTACAGATGCCAGGAGAAACAAAAGAGCCATGTGCTGTGTGACCACTAATGACTGCCCACACCTTTATCATCCCCCTCGACACTCTTATCTTCTCTCTCCAGCTGCAAAGAGCACCCGTCCACCATTCTGCTCAGTTAAAAGAACCACCTTGATCAAAACCCAAGCCAGCCACTGCCGCTCCTTTTATTTACAACTTATCACTAGTCACTCCCTTCAGAGAGCTGTTTTATGTTTTAATTCGGTTTCATTCACAGCACGGGAATTCAATAGTATAGCTGAATAACAGTGAGGACGCTTTACTAAATCGGTTAAGACACATGGCTATATTTTCAGAACTAAACTTACAGTCAAGTCCATGAACACATCAACCATGAAGCATTTTGATGTTTAGTTCTGTAAACTTGGGACAAAAAAAGATTAATGACTACAAAGTTGAAATTCGGCCAACTTTAATTTTTTTTTGACAGATTAAATATGTACAATGTGTAAAAATTGAGACTACTCTCCAACTGTCAAATATATGCTCCAAAAAATAGCTGGCAGCATATCACGCATCAGGTCATAACTGCCGCTAACTGCCGTCACCTAGCTCAGTTAGCTACGCAGCTAACTTAGCAGACCTATTAGCTGACTGAGTCCACAATGAGCACCAGAACCGAAGCAGGCAGAGTAGCTTCCCAGTGAACACGGCCTGACTGGGACCAAACACAGAAACACAGCCTGTGTGAGGTGATTTAAAGCGGGGGGAGAGGAGAGGTGTCAAGCAAGAGAGACATGAGAGAGGCAGCAACAGCACGTACAACCAGATTATTTTCACATATAACTCCATGAATTGAGGGATTACTTCAACCAAACCAGAGCTGGTGATTGTTTAAAGCCCCTCCAGCCAGTTTTAACTGCCGTTTTTGGTGAACGTTCTTTCTCAAACAGAGAATGGGGAGGTGGTTAATTGTTGACAACCAAAAACTGTGTTCGCTAACGATATGCTGTGTTAACATCGCTACTCTGTAAAGTTTAGTACACTTTACTGTCGGGCAGGAGTAGCTATTACTTACCCATGATAGAAACTAATGTGCGAGTATCAGGTGTTATCAATCACACAGTCGATGGTCCTGTCACGCACTGCACACGATAACTCCCACTACGTTTTATGGTGCGCTTACTTTACCACGGGGGTGTGGTGGGGGGCGCCTCCGACGATGCATTGGTAAAACGGCCGTCAGTAAAATGCATGTTGCAGACTGTGTTATAAGAGGGTGGCAGGTGAAAGTGCGACCTGTCATCTGTCCTCCAACACCGCACGCACAGATGCCATAATGAACATACCTACCTGTAAGTTCTAAGTAAATGACATGATAAATTGGTTAGCTAGCTCACAACGATGTTCATCAGTTTGATGCTCTGACTTAATGAGGCGTGACAGTTTTTTTTACGAGGCATGACAGTGTGCCTGCGCAAGCTTGGAGAATGACGTATGACTTATGGAATTACTATAGTCATACGTCACCATCCCAACAACTAAGCAACTTTTGCAAGCACAAAATTAAGCTATTTTTCAAAAGATATTTGGCGAACTCTGTGGGTAATCAATATTGTAAGGAAAATATGAAATATCATAGAAATGTCAAAATACACTAGAGGGGGGCTTTAAAACAGCAGAAAGACTAACCATGATGTTACTGTCGATTTTGAATGAAGAGTGTTTAACCATGGCAATTAATTTGGTGAAAGAGAGACACTTGGATTCATATATGTGAAAGAATATTTCCTTTTTTGACATTGTCTGAGTTCATTTTGTTTAATTTATCTTATCTTCTTTAATTTAATTTAATTTATCAAACTAAAAAAAGCACCTCGAGTTACAAAGTGGTATTATGACACAGGACAGGCCGGGGCTAGCTCTGTTAGCAAGCTAACTTCCGTACATATCTCTTGCAGAAAAATGCACAAGATGTCTTTGACATAACGTCAGAACTGTTACTTCTTCACATTCTGTTGATAATTAGATCATTTTTGGAATATTTTAAACTAAAATTTTGGCCATATCTTACACATCGCACGTTTAACTAAAGTAATGTCTCTTCTTACTGGCTGTGTTAGCAGCCATGTCTGTTTAGTGCTGTCACCATGTTTGATGCCCTGGGCACAGTTGAAAGCCACGTCAGCACAGTAAACTAGAGGCATCAGTGTCCTGATAAGGCCAGTGATAAAAAATTAAAACAGTTGGTATCCATAACATTCTGCTTTTAGTCTGTACTTGATATTTGACAATCATTTTGTTAACAAGCGCTGTCACGAGTTCAATGCTCAGAAATTCAGTCCCAAGTCAGGATTTGTGGAAAATGGAAGGAGGAGGGAAAGAACTACTACTACTACTACTGCTGCTGCAGCAGTTCAACAGAAACAAAAACTACCACAGACACATTCAGTTCAGGGGAAATGAATACAGTGAAGGTGTTACCTGCAGGTTGCTGAGAGGCTCCATCTTCATGACAGGTCCCACAGTACTGAGGGGAAGAGCCACTTCAATACTCTGGTTTGGGTTAAGAGGGGTTAGAACCTGGAGTGGACCAGCTGGAGCCAGACCAAAGCTACAGAGGAACACAGAAGGTGGGAACAGTGTCACAAACTGTGAAAATATATACAAATCTCAGCACATTGCTTACCAAGTTAGATGGTTACCTGTTTCTGTTAAACTGGATGGCAAAATCAGTCATGACACTCATAGCTTTATTACTGAGGGTCATCTCCATTTGGATGACCCCAGCACGGCGGGCAAAAGTGCCTGATATCTCCAGACCTTTGGCCTTCATGGCTGGAAGCCAAATCTGAACAGAGACAAGATCAGTTATATCATTAAGGATCCCGCCACAGCTTTTCATCATTCTATAGTAGGTCTCATCCCAGCTTATCAAGACTCACAGTTTTAGGGGGGCTGTATGCTCCCATAGTCATACCAACGCCACCTCCGAGATCAAACAGGTCATCCAGTCCACCACTAACAGGGGCATTGAAAGAGGCTGGCATTACAGCTGGCGGAGCACCAAAAGCAGCGCCCATCTGTGGGTCACAAAGGAATACGTTACCCTAACACGTTCAGTGACACCCTTTATTAAGCAATCAGAGACCAACAGAAATTCAGACAAAACTACTTACAGCAGGACTTCCTCCAAGGTCTCCGCCAAGCTGAGTGGAGAGGGGGCAACACAAAAAATTCAGGTTATCTATTGGTGCAATATTAAATAATATTCTGGAAGGTTTTGAAAATGATTGACAGAGGGGTGTGAGAGTCTAAGACATGTCTTTCTGTGATTAATGATAGCTATGGGGTTTACACTATTAACAAGTAACACTAGAAGGAGAGCAGTACGGGAGGATTTCTCTTCTTATTTAACTGACCTTTTACTGTCCATAAAAGGCCAGCTAGTGGCTATTGACATCCAATAGGTTTCACTCAAATGCTACTCACTAAATGTGTCTATTGGGATGATCAAAAGTTTAGGGGTATAGTGCACAAAAATGGTGGTGCAAAATAAATAAATAAATAAATAAATAGTGATCCAACACTGTGACAAAGCTAAACTACTGTGTATAGAAGGAAACACTTATACATAAAATATGGATGAGATTTTCTAAAATCTCACTTAAAATGGAGTGGGAAACATAAACATTAAATAAAGTGCAAACGAGCACAGATGACTGCTGGGGAGGATTATTTAGAGGACACAGTGGTACAACAGGGGACAAGAGGGGGTTCTAGGCTGGTGCTGGCCTTTACTGGTCCAGCGTGGTCCCCTGGACCAACCTCAGTGGGGCTGTAATCTGGGGGCGATGGGGACTGATGAGGGAGTTGAGGTGACTGAGGAGTGTCCGTCCGCAGGGGAATGGGCGGCTGATTGAAACATGGAACACATCATAGAGTCCAGAGATAAGAAAAGAAATGGACTCAAGGATTTAACAGCATGCTTACTGTAGATATCACCGTTATACAAGATGCTGAATGAAAATGTCAGACTGATGCATGGGAATTACAGTAAAACAGCAGTGATTAAATGAATTCTCTAACAAGGCCTGACATGGTTTAAATGTTTTGCCCTCTCCCTCCTTGTATTTACCGGCTCAGACTCATCCCCCATCTGCAGGTGCAGCATTGAACAAAATAGGAAAACACACAGGAGTCAAGACAAAATAAAATAAAAAGCACCAAAAGGAAGAAAAATACAAAGAAACATCACTGCCACTAAGCCACTGACATTAAGCCTTTTACTGAAATCAACTGAGATGTGCTATTAAGCCTTTCAGAGCAGCTTCACTAAAAAAACTAAACAGCAGTGTGCAGAAGACCTACCAGGCTGTCCAGTCCTCCTCCAAGAAGGTCCATAGCACCCAACTGCATGCCAGAGGACGGGGGTGGTGTTGGTCCGGTGGTGGCGGGAGGTGTCAGGTCCAGATTAAGCAGATCTCCTAGGAGGTCTCCCTGAGATGGGATAACAGCAGGGGGTGCTTCAGAAAGTCCAGCAGCAGAACTTGTGTCTGGGCTCTCAACACTCTCCCCACTATAAGAAATAAAACAAGAATTCATTAATTTAGGTTATGCATGTTATGTCATTTATTTGATAACTATTACTGTTAATACTTAAAATACACTCTAAGCCTAATTTGTCTTTTAAACTGCTGATATAACTACACCCAGTCCACTGAGAAAATTAACAAGTAGATGTGATGAGCTGTATTCAAAAGGCAGGAAGGAACAAAGAAGAACAGCTGCATAGCTTGATGCTGCTGGAAAGTACATTACTCAGTAGATTCAAAGGAAAGCATAATGGCAGAGTCAAAAACCTAGGTCCACTTAGGTAAACAAACCCCTTTGGCTGCAGTGTTTAAAAAAAAAATGAAAAGTGCATGACTCACGATCCAGCACTGCCAGGGAGTCTCTTGTGCTGAACACCGCGGCTGCCCTCAACAAAGGCACTGGGAGGCTTGTGGTAGACAGAGGCCAGAGTACCAATATGGCAGATGAGCTCCTCCAGCAGTGTGGGCTCAATCAGATCCGTCTCCTCAGAGATCAGGGGCTTCTCAGCCAGAACTACCTCCTTAGCAGCCACAGGGTCTGTGGAGAGCAGACGCCAGTAGATGTAACCGCGGTCCCGGAGGTCTGGGTTATCAGAGTCCTGCAGAAAGAGAAGGGAGCATGAGGAGGAAGGATTATTATTCATAGAGCTTGTTTAATAAATACTTAATGTTAAGCCTCTTTTCCGTCTTGGCCCATGATATGAGAGACTGAGCAGTGATTCAAAGATATCAAAAAGTCAGCCTTAGTAGTGCTAGGACATTTTAATACTGTGGAAAAACAAGCTCAGGGTTTAAATAAGCTTTAAAAACAACTAAATGAATGTATGCATTAAAATATAAACAAAATGCAAACAAAACATGGCTCTCAATTTGAATTAAATTAATAAAAAAAATGTTGTTTTGGGGCCCATTTTCTCCAAATTGTTGCTTTGTGCCTGCCTAATGTGTTGTTACACACATACAGGTACCAGTTTACTGCTGTTGTTAAATCTATAGAAAATAATGCAACACAACAGTAGTCCTGTAATAAATTCAATAGACATGTCTATTGACTGCATTAGACTGCAACATAATGGAGGTGTTTCTGGTACTTCATAAATGATGGAGGACAAAAGAAAGATGCACCAACTCATTCTTTCCATGATGATAATATTTCTACTCTAAAATAAATAAAGATAATAGAAATACATGCACAGTTTATACATACAATGGGCACAGATGCTAAAGCTAGCTTCTGATCTGTTTTAGGATAATACTACAAATAGGTAGATCTTTATTTAGGTACATTTTGATACATCTGATGTTGATATAATGTGGGCTTAAATAATATTACATAGAAATGTCTAAGAATGTTTGTTTTAAATTTTAAAAATCAACTTGCTACCTAAAACCATTAAAACACAGCAGAGTAAGCTCAAACTGCTGCAGTCATTACTGAGGGAAGTGCAAGGCTCCAATTCTCCAGTGTCCCAAGAATTATAAAGTAACAGAGAACTCCTTGGAAAAGATACAAACATTAGAGTTCTGGAGCAATGTCAAAAGCCATGTCTGATGAGAACAATTTACACAAACTAGGAGGAGGAAGACATGGATTGTGAGTTCAGAGTAGTAGACAGCATAGGGAGGATTGTCAGACATCTGTAGACAGAGATGACGACAGGAACATAAAATGTATGTGTCGAACTATGTGTTGTTTTGTTTCCCTCCTCACCTGTGTGGCAAGGCTCAGCACCTGCTGCACTAGCTCCTGGGTCTCAGTGGGCTTTTTCAGGAACAACTTGACAATTGCCGTCAGTAGCTGCAGCTGCACCTAGACGACAGTCACCACATACAGGATGTGACAGCTGCTCACATACTACTTTAAATACAGCGACTGTAAAGTAAAACTTTCATACAGTAACAAGGTGCAGCTTAACAAATATCTTCTAACAATGACCTGTACTGATGCACAGTAAACACATAACAAACAAACATGTTTAAACTTCTTTTACTTTTCACGGCTCCAGTTTCCCATGGATGACCCACCCTGCTAAACAGTATTTAGTCCAACTATTGGTTGAATTTGTTGTTACCAAACACTTTTCAGAGTGAAGGCTAGCTTCTCTACAACATGTGTCTGAGCCAGATACAGAAAGCGTTACTGTAGTATTTTTGCTTAAGCACGATGAATCATTTCTCTCAGTTTCCACAGATTTTGTCAGTTAAAAGACCAGTTCTGTCATACTTCTCAATTTGCATATGGGATGTTACCTCCATTTTTAGTGCTGTGTTGCAGCTTTAATTATTTCCAACTATAGAAACCAAATTATTCTACTTAGAGCCAGTACTACAAATAAGTGGTGCCAAATGGAATTCATATTTTTTAAATAACAACCTCTCTGCACTCTCCTAAACACACCTGAGTGCTTTCATCATGGAAACCCTCCAAAAAGCTCTCCAGCAGCTCATCAGCGTTGTCAATGCGCTCAGCATACTCTCCCACAATCCAGATCATGGCAGCACGTGCCTCCGGCTCATCCAGGGAGTCCAGGTTTTCACACAGAGTGGCAATCACACTCTCATACCTGGAAACAGTCACACAAAACAACGTTACATGCACTCAAATGTTTTCAGGAGAGACAAAACAAATTAACACAGGCAAGGTCCTATAATTTACATAAAAGTGCATTGATCAATCAAGCTGACAGATAAACAGCCGCCATATCACCTTATAAAACAAGGTAGCAAACAACTACCTGATTTCACACCCTGCACACAGACACACACAGAGCAACATGAACATTACTTTGGAGTAATGTGTTCTGGCAGCCTGACAAATTTAAATCCAATTTTCACCATCCTTTTAGATTTTTTGTTTGGGTCTTTCGCTGGCTAAATGCCCAATCAGTAAATGTTTTCTGAAATAGTTAATGAATTCCTGTGGTTGAGGCATGTCTGATCTGCATAAAATGCTTGATAATAAACAATCCCATTTGCATAATGATTTCATTACAAGATATGACAAGGCAGAAATAGTTAGTCAATGTCTAATTAATAGAAAAGGCAATGGAAAAGTCTGAGTAGGTAGTGACTCATACAGCTCAAGGCTAGGGCCGTGCCGAGCTGGGAGCTTTGCAAAGCTGCTCCCTTAGAGACCCACGACACCACGGTGATGACGCCATGGTGAAGTTGCGCTCCAGCCAAATCTGCCTGACCTTTGACCCGATGCAATCAAGCCAAGGTGTTAAGTGCTGCCAACTACAAACACTCTCTGTGTTACGGAGGACATTTTTTTTTGTCTGAAAGCTCTCTTGCATGTCTTTTGGGATAAATGCCAATCTGAAAACACATTTTGGCTGTGTTATGAGCTTTCACTCTGCCTGGTTAAAGACCAAGAGAAAATAATCCGAGGGTCAGTGAAGTGAAACAGTCCAAGTTCCCAGTCCTGATGAATGTATCACACATAAAGTAAAGCACAGACTCCTCACTCTGCATTCCTCAACCGTTAAGGCTGAATCTGAATAATGAACCTACTTGTTGGGGTACTTGCGGAAGATGTCCTTGATGACCACAATGGCCTCCTGCACCACATAGTTGACCTTGGTCTGGATGAGGTCTAGCAGTGTGCTGACACAGCGCTCCGCTGATTGCTAATGAATGCAGAGAAGAAGAAAAATTGTGTCATGATTGGCCTGCAGATTAAAAACAGTATAGACAAAAGCATATAAAATGTGTGCATCAAAAATTAAATATTCCTCTTTAGTTTCCTCTATGTAAATTACTTGAGTGGCTTTATATATTTAAGTTGAGTCTTAAATAGCCAACAGTAAACAGTCCTGTGATCCTTTTATGCATGTTCTATTAAAATATAAGAAAAATGTTACGTACTGTATTACTCTTACATGTCCATGGACACCAAAACAAACAGTATTAACTTGTTAAAGGAATTAACACACAGCACTGTCATGTTGAAAGAGCTTTTCTTGTGTTCATTATTAAAGCACTACAACATGCACCAGTCACATGCCTGACTGGTGGCCTTTAATCTTTTACGGTGTTGTGATCTGATCGATCTACTACAAGTAAATAACAACAATCATATAAAGAAATGCTTTGTCCTTGAACTACATAGATGTCACGAGGATTTGGCCAACAAAGCATCTACCGACAGTTTGACCTTCTCCACCGACCTCTACTTTGATGGCACAGCGGCCAATGGCTCTGACCGCTTTACGCACAAAGTCCACATCCACCTCAGTGGCGTACTCCTTCAGCTCAGCCAAGACCTACAGCAAGACAGGCAAGCATCAGTGTCACTAAGATGATCTTGTAAACAATATCTTTGCTTTTCCAACTCACTGATGTGTTATAGCTGTGGGTGTGTTACCTGGGCGATGTTGGCTTGAGATGCTAGGCGAATCATGATGTCCAGTTTCTCCAGTTTGACATAGATTGGGTCATTGTACTTTACAAAGAAAACCTTCATCTCATGTTTCAGAATCTCTGGGCTAAAAGAAAAGACATCAACATTTCTCATTATTTGCAGCAATAAACTTGGGCTGTAACACCACATACAATAAATCCAACTGAAAATCTACCGTGCTGCAGTCGATGCTTTTATTAGGGCCTGCTATGGGTGTAAAGAATAGTAAAGACACCTCCCCAGGTCATGGCCCCAGATTTACCGTCTCTGTACGATGAGGTTGATGTTTCTAAGAGCCACATATTGCAACTCGGGCTCAGCAGAAAGGAGGGTGACCAGCGGAGGGGCAAGCTTCTTCAGCAGGGTGCCATAGTAGTCCAAGTCCTTGGGCAGCATCTCCATGAACTTCATTAAAACTTTAACTGCTGACAACACCACTGCAGAGTTGGCATGGGAGAGCCGTGGGGTCACACGCTCACAGATGCTAGCAGATGTTGATGATATTGGGGGAGAGAGAGCAAACATTACACATTTTCTTTCTATTTCACTGACACGCAGTGTTAATGAAGGCGGTGCCACCTCTTACCTTTGGGACTCGCGGTCATCACGAGGTGTGTAATTTGCCAGGCAGTCAAGAATGAATATCTGCCCCCATTCTGTACACTCATTTAAAGCTGTCAGCAACTTGTTGATGGTCTGAGGGTTCAGGTCCAGTAGATTACTGTTGGGGTGAGACTCTGCTATCTCAGACAACGCTGCCACTGCGTTTGCTACAACCTAAAGATGAAGGCAAGAGCACAGATAAATGCTGACGGAAAAACAGTAGCCACCAGCTGTATTAAGACACAGAAGAGAAATCATTGTACTAACACAATTCTGGCCACATGTTGAACATTTGTATGCCAGCACAGGGGCTTATCAGTTAAAGGCAGAACAGGTGCTTGTAGCCAGCGGCGTTATCCTGAGTAAGATATCTGGCTGGCTCAATAGCCAGCTAGTAACTGCCAGAAGGATTCGTACCATGGGGTTGGAGTCAGAGATGAGGTCCTTAAGGGTGTCCAGGAAGCCTTGGTCCTCCACCAACTGGGCGTTGATATCATGGAGCTTTGCCACACACACAGCGGCCGTCTTCCTCACATATGGGTCTTCGTCCTTCAGACATTTCCTCAGTGGCTCACAGAGGTACTCAGTGATCTTGTCCACACGGATGCAGCCCATTGTACGAACAGCAAGCGCCCGGATTAAAGGGTTCGGGTCTTCACAGTCCTAGATGGGTGGTTTAGAGAGGTAATATAATTTGCCACAACTTTGTATTTATTTATATATCGTACTGCAATATCTGGTAGCCATTTTAAATGTGTCTATCCTTTGTTTGCATTAGCTTGCTGCAAAGAATTAAATTAGTATATATTGGAGGTGTCATTCCCAGTCACACAGTGCTATGCAAAAATATACCCCTGTATATAATGTGAGCACAAACTTCTTGATCTAATAGCATTCCAATATTTGTTTTGTTTTTTTAAAATACTTTGATCAGCTGAAGAACTCAAATACTGCACACACCTTTTTATAGCACTGTACCAAGCTAGCCCTAATTGCACTTCTTTTAATACAGTTTCTACATATTTATGACAGATAGTGCTTTACCTTTACAAAAGTGTTAACAGCCATGATAGCCATGTCTGGCTGACTCTTGGCATAGTTCATCAGGTAGAGGTATACCAGCTTTTTCAGCTCCAGGTTGTCCGTCTGCATGCAGTTCACAACATCTGGGAACAGAGCGCTGAAGGAGGGACAAGATATTATGTGACTGCTGACCCAAAATGGAGGGTGATGTGTTACACTGCATTGTTCCAGTGTGGATATTTCTGACATTATTTCCTCTGGCTCACCTGACATCCTTGCCAACTGTCATAGATGCAATGACCTTCTTCACAGCCTCCTTCTTCTTCTCTTTCTTATCACTGTTTAGCTCTGCCTTGAGCTCAAAGATCTCCCCTGTATGCGAAAAGAAGCAAAAGGGAATCACACATCACGTAATCCATTTGTGATGTAGGCCGTGGAAAGGAGGACAGCGCTGCATTGCCCTCATTTTCACAAATCACAAAGTGCAAACTAAAAAGTGGATACATTGGCATGCAACATACAGTGTTCCCTTATCTATCAGAACCACTCATATATACAGAATGGGGACAGTGACATCCCCAGCAGTTTCTGATACTGGTGAGTGGTATTGGTTAGGGTGCACTAATACAAAAACTTTCCATATTTTGATGTTTAACGAGTCAGCAGATTACCGACTGACTACTAATGAGAAAGTTCCAATGGCTGATTCACCCTATACGGCTTTCTATGGTCTGGTGATAGAAAGCTTTTACTTGAAAGCTGCAGCAGGATGTGTTCATTTGGCATTATTAGTGGCTGAACAGCAGCAGACATACAGCTCCAATAATACAGCGAATGAGAGTGCACAAGACATGTTACCCGACATTTGATGAGTAGGACTTATTATTAGAATTATTCAAAATGAAATTTTAAAAACTTTGTACTGATGTCCGTGCGTGTGCTTTGTCACATGTGCGAGACAGTGGAACACAGCTCACACACTGTCATCAGTTTGATTATATGAAAAAATATTCTTATTAAACAACTTTTTTCAACAACAAGGCCAAGCCAAACTTGTGGGTACTGTTGAGCAGGCGATAAAGATAAAGGAGTCAACCACCCGCTTCTCTCTATAGTACTGATGATGCCAGTCATTTTCCGAGTATTGTTACTGGCTGAATGCACAATGATATTTATGCCTACCTTATTACAGAGGAACATTTAAAAAGACTTTGTTTTTTCCTAAATGTGACTGTAGATATTGAGTAAAGCAGCATGTAACATGAGCCTCTCATGAAGGATGACAAGGAGTGTTTCTTTTTTGCTTTGTACAAAACTGCAGCACACTGTCAATTTTGGGCTTAACTTTAAGTCTGACTACTTAAGAGTTTCCCAGGCTCTGTAAACTGCTCATCATGGCCAATCTCCTTCAAGATGTTAGCAACAGACTGCACACAGTAACATCGGGGAGATGCTCAAAAAAGCAGATACTGAAAGAAACATGATCTTATATCTCAAGCAATCTCAACAAACATAAGGAGTCTATACATTATCACTCATAAGCATGTGTTTGCACTTTCTACCCCCTGTGTGTGGGGACATTCACAGCTCTGGGTTTTGTGAGAAGAGACACACAATTAAAACAGGAAGAGTTAAATCTATGAAAGCTAATGCTCAATATGTCTAATCTGATTTACAATAACCAGACATGTTCAATTCTTGGCAACAACGTCAATACAAAGCAGGGTGATATCTTTTGGTTAAAAGGTCAAGCTAGTTCAGTAAGGCAAATATACTAAACAACATAATGCATAATATGCAATAATGTCTTGAATCTTAAACTGCATCTTTGGCTTCATATACTGAATAATAATGAATGGATGATGATGATGCTGTCAGTATATCCAATAACATTTTTCTGAAACCACAGAACAGTTTTAAGTTCATTGGACTATGTTAAAAAACTAAAAAACAAGTTCAGGTGTCCCTTTACAAAGATAATAATTCAGCACCACACAGCTGACTATGCCACAAAATCCCCAAAAGCACTTGCTTAAAAGCTATGCATGGATGCCAGCTTATGAATTAATAAATAGTAAGCTATCAGACCTTTCTTGGTAGTGGTGAAGTACTTGGAGTCCGTCATCTTCGATCCAAATTGTCGATTCTCCTGCAAAAGAGTGAGAAAGATGATTGTGTAATCGTTTCCTGAGTGGAAACTTGGAGCATCACAAGAGCAACAGGAAATTCTAGAAGTGCAAGCACAGGGAAATAAAGGGAATTCCTGTCTTCTCCTGAACAAATGGTGGTGATCTATCAGAAAGGAAACAATGGATTGTGCCAAGAAAACAAGACACATGAATCGTCTTGGTCAGCAACAATGTCTTCAACTTCAAATGTTTTCTGCAGCATGTATTCCCTGTAGTTTATTTCCACTCCTGACCCAGCACCTCTTTGCGAAAGACATTCACACAACAGTATTTCCTGCTATAAAATTACAGGGAACTGCTGCTTGATTTAATCCAAAAGAAAGGAACAGAAATTCAGATTCGAAAGTGAAACATGCTCCTGCTATAGGGAACATTTAGTGTACTGTTAAGGAACATGGCGCTTGTGCACACAACCATTACACTTCATATTGTGTTGCATTCGGCTCTTTTAATGTTTCCCTGAATACACAGTGAACATTTTCTGGTTGCAGGGTTAATATTAGTACTGATATTGCTGAGAATTGTGATGCTATTTACTGAGGGCCATCATGTATTGTAAAGCTGCAACAATTAATCAATTAGTTGTCAACTATTAAAATTAATTACCTACTGTTTTGATAATCGATTAATTAGTTTGAGTAGAAAATTATCTGATTTCGCTTCTTAAATGTGAATATTTTCTGGTTTCTTTCCTCCTGTATGACAGTAAACTGAATATCTTTGGGCTGTGGACAAAACAAAACATTTGAGGATGTGAACTTGAGCTTTGGGAGACCCTTTTCTTTTTTTTTTTTACCATTTTCTGACATTTTATAGACCAAACAACTACTCGATTATTCATCGACAGATTAATCGACAATGAAATTAATAGCTAGTTGAAGCCCTAATATTGTCATGAATATAGCCTAACGTTATATGATACTTTTGAATTACCATAATACAAATATTGATGATATCACTGGCTGTTGCCTACACTGAATGAAACAAATTACATCAATAAACATTATTAAGGCTAATAATGTAATAAGCCCTTTATTAATTCGACTAACTTCTCATTCAATCTGATATTATTATTATAATTATTATTGATAGCTCTTTGAAGAAGAACTTTCCTTGACCAAAATCCATACCCGTATATAACAAGAACAGTATTTTAAGAATAATATCAGTGAACACTGCCTTTATCAGTCTGGGTATAACAGTAAGTTAATGCAGCTACTAACTTTCGTTAATAAAACTTCACAATGATGCTACGTTAGCAGAAAGTGATGTTAACGGTCATTTGATAACAAGTCAAAATGAATGGCAGAGGTCTTTCAGTTATTACCCTTAACTTAGTGATAATGAAGACTAGTTTAATTTATCGTAACGTAAGTTAACAGTTGCTTAACGTTAATTCATTGAGCTTCGGGTAGCTGTCAACATCAGTCGGGCTGTTTGTCACAAGTTAACTAAATACCATGCGTTATCACAGCTGACGACGTTAGTTAGCTAGCAGGAAGATTTAACTTAGCTGATTACGGTTACGTTTGTACGATAATTAATGCTGCTACCAGGCCATACTGACACTGAACTCAAGGTATAACTCTAAAATAGTGTCCAGACAAACAATATGAGTACTTCACCCTAGCTGACTTTAAGTTTTTCTGCTAGCTTAGCCAAAAAGTAGAGGAAAGGTTGGTTCGCTAGCATCAGGCTATCATGACGTTAACGTTAGCATAGCAGGCTCGACTGTGGAAGAAAACACGAAGCAGAAACTTAAAGTTAGTTAAATTAGTGCAGACAGTTCTGCAGTTAACGATCGATCAATTACTCACGCATAATTGGTTCGCCCATTCCTGCATGTTTGCAGTAGTTAGCTGAATGAAACTGGTGCTAAAGGCTAGCTGTCTGGTGCAGTGTGCCTGTCAGTGTCAGCTAGCTGCTGGCCACTTTTCTAGCTTGCACAGCTGAGACATGACCTTCTAAGTACAGGCTTAAGGAAGCTTTTGCCGGGATAGTTAAGCTCTTAATCTATCGGCCTGGTTTAAACCTTACCCAGCGAATCAGTGTACCTTCTGGAGTTAAAATTAGAGTAGCCGCACAACGAGACAAACGGAGAGAAATCTCCACAAACACCTTACCGTGACAGGCGTAGTAGGGGCTGTGATGGCCTTCGTCCCCTCCCACTTGATTTACTTCCGTCTTTCCACAAAATAACGTTTGCAAACAGACAAGCAACGTCAGCTTTCATTCAGAGAGGCTTGATCATAATTATGGGAGTCATTTCAATAGGTATGAAAGAGCTATCCGATGCAGTTACACCAAGCAGACTACACTGCAAATTAATTGTGTTATACTGAGAGGTGTTTCTAATATGCATTGAATATCAATTTACAGTGTGTCGAAATTGTAGGTGTTTTGTCATCCGTTTAAAAAGGGTAATATAAACATTAAACAACACTTCTGAGTATAAGACCATAATCTACAGCACAGTAAGACAATAATAAACAGCACTACAAACTACAGCCTCTAAAATGACTATAAAGTTAAATCAACACCCCTCTAAAACAGTTCACAAATTGAACACTGTAAGCTTCAGTAAGGTAGGATTTATCGTAGGACCATTGTATTACACTACATTAGTTTTAGCTAGCTTTATTTTACGAAATGAAATGGTTAAGTGTGTGTTGGATCGCAAAAACTGACATTTCTTCCCAGTTGATGGGTAGATATTTTGAAGGGAAACGTTTGTATTTCCACTCAAAGATAGGGCAGGCTATATGGCATTCAGTTTTGTTGCAAACTTCAGCGTGCAAAATCTCCACCAAGAGATCATCAGGTATCATTGGGCTGGACAAATATGATCATTACACATTGTTTTACACCATGTAACAAAGACATTTTGTTTGAAGTACAAACAGTTATTAAATCACTCATTTGAAGAACAATATTGTATTTATCCACCTTCACATTTTGGCAGTTCTCAAGCAGGCGCTGCAGGCCTTCCCCTACAACCTAAACCCAATCTGTACTGCACAAAGATGTGACCAACAGACTGATCACAGATAATTCATTAACTTCAGAGGAAAATATTTATTACAAGAACTTGACAGCTTCAAAAACAGTGAAACGTTGAAAGTATTGCTATTTCATATATACAGACTCCACAATGTCAAGCAATCTGTACATTTAACTGAAGTTTTAGTGAAAATAACATTAGCAAACAAGAAATTGTCTGATCATGAACATTCAGATTTCGCTGATTAAGGATAGAGAGAGGGAGAGAGAGTTTCATGAAAGTTGTGCAGGACAAAGAACAGATTATGTCATATAACAACAATCACACTTTTTGTGACCAAATGTAATGGCATGTTTGTATGAAGTCACAGTTGACATAACTGGTAGATTTTAAACACCAGTTGATCAAAATGCAAATGTCTTTAAATAACCAAATTTAAATTAGCATACATGTAAAAAAAAAAAATCTGTTTATACAGGGGAAACTGATAACCAGCTGCATATTGGATCAATGCAGCTCTAACAATACTGACACATCATAAATGATTTGTAGCAGTGAGGGTAAGCATTAAATCAAATTACTTTATCTCTGAATATTGCAAAACAGCCCAAATATGTTTTGTCTGTCTGTGCCAGTTTTCAAACTGGCAACATTTCTAACAGATTATGTATCTTTATAGTGTATTCAAAATGCAATATCCTTCTACATGTTGGGCCCCAACTCATTTGGACTTTTCTAAACACTTACAGCTCACTTACCTGGGACACAGATGTCACTTGAGCCCAATGAGACTTACATTTCATAAATAAATAAATTAGACCAACATCACTCCAACTCTGTACATATTCTCATACAGTTCTATTTTTTCTACCCTATTCACTGTGTCAGTGCCATGAAAAAATAGGTTATTCACAAATGTTGCGTCTTTCTTTTCTGTTTACACACAGTCTCTGTAGGAGAGATTGATCAAACCCATTGTAAACATATCAACAACACATGTCCACCAAATTCTCTTCATTGGCAGATGTTTTTGGAGGTTATGAGGTTTCTGCATAGCACTGACACAACAATTCCCACTTTCAAAATCTATTTTACAAAGTCTACACAGGTTAAATACCAAAAACAGAAGTACTGTAGCTGGGCTCTGGCCTCCCTAACACCTGACAACTGTGCAAGAGCTTCACAAGAGAACCCTAATATCCAATTACAGTATCTATTATTCATGCACTGTTGCACACATGTAGACAAGTCAAAATAATTCTCCATCCATCAAACTTCACCTCATAATACCATATTATTATTATTGGCTCTGCACTAGAATATGTTATTCCACATGCATGGAAGAAAGGACACATTGTCAGGAAAACAATATCTGTTTTTACTGTTAATAAAACATGTCTTTCTTTAGCCACTAGATGTCACCATAGATTGTGCCATGTCTTTGAAATCCATCTGTTAAGTAGGTTAACCGGCTTCTTGTGTTTCAAAACAACTAATAGAATTCAGAGACAATAAATTACATATCTTTATCATGAATAGTACACTTACATCAAGTATAATTTATACTTTCCACATTCATACTCAAACTCTCCAATTTCTATTACCATAAAACAGTTAATGATGGCAATGTAGTGTTACCAAAAAGTGATGTTGAGCAAAAACATTCAAAAACTAACCTGCGAATAAATTTTAAGGCAAAGGGAATTGTCAAGGCATTTCCAATACCAACATTGCATAGCTAAGGCAGCACAGAACTGATTACAGTGAATATGTACATTAAACTGTATATCCTTTTTATATTCAAAATACCCACATCTCATAGTGAGCACATCAACATGTATTTACGCATTCATTCTCCAAAGAATTTGACTTTTGCACATGTATATATGTAGCACTGTATTCCAGAGTACAGTTTGGTCAGAGGAAGAGCTCTCAACATTTCTGTTTCAGTGACAATGACACAAGGTGATACAACCTTCACTGCTCCTCATATTTTTACATGTAATCCACTTAAAAGTTGAAATATATCTGAAATGTTTTACTGCATTAAACATAAGCTTGAAAACCTGTAACACATAAAGCATTTAAAAACAAATATTATCTATCTTGACTACATCAACTGTTGTGAAAAGGTGACATCAGACATTAATAACAGCAGACAACTGTACAGAGATTGGTAGTGCATGTAGTGTTCATAAAGTCAGAAGAATGATGGGGGTACTTCTGTCAATATTACCTATTAGTATATTGTGAATATGAGTATAATGAGTCATATATGAAGACCACTAATGTGGAAGGACTGAAAATATCACAGTCATACCAGTATTTTGACTATCAAGGCAAGCAGAGATGCTGTGGCAAACCACAAGATGGAGCCAATCTATCTGACTAAAGGTTTATTGTTAATGCTTGTTTATAGAGTTGTAGCTTGAAACCCCTGGCATTTTACCATGTCCCTCAGAGGGGAACATGGCAGCACATATGCTCTCTCTCTCTCTATCTCTCTGTATCAAGTGTCTTATGATTGGCAAAAGCATCCCCATGCACACATTAAACATTACAGTAAAAGTAATATTAAAGACCATTCCTTTGGTAATAAATAATTTGGCTTGAGTGCAAAATAAAAGCAATGTGGACCCCCTGCAGTTATTCAGGGGAGAAACTAAGTGAAAAAGAAGGAGTGTTAGACATGCAATGAAAACAGTCTATAGCCCAGTCTTAAGTCTTTTTTTACACAGTAGTCAAAGTTTATGAAAACAACCCCATGTGTCATTTGTGCTACATCCAAGCTTCAGTGTCCAGGCTCCCTGACTGTCCAGGGTAGGAGCATTCTTTGTTTCCCATGGCTGGGGAACGTGGTTGAGGATGGATCATATCTGCGAAGGCCTGGTGCAGGCTCTTGCATGTGGCTGGACGACCAGTAGAGTGTGAGCTCTGAGGCGACAGTGGTGGGGTGTGGCATGGGGAAAGTGTGTCGTGAGCCTGTAGATCTCTGTAGCTGACTGGGGTGGGGATCCGCGAGGGACTGTTTTCTGGCCTGTTGTCAATGCGAGGCCTGATCCTGCCTCTCAGTTTGTGCTTTGAGATAGGGGCTACCCTGTCTGACTTCTTTTGCCCTTTCTTAGTCTGCTGCACTTCTCCATCGCCGTCCCCGTTGGCCAGCAGTGAAGAAGGTGGGGGGGATTCAGAGCGGGATTCGCTCAGGCTGAAGCACATGGAAGAGTTTTCACTAGAGGAATCCTGGAAGGAGCAGTCCTCAGAGGGGGGAAGGGGCACAGGTGACGGACAAGCCTCTGGGGGCGGGAGGTCATCATTGCCCTCATCATTTTCTAGGTCATAAGGTAAGTTTGGCTGGTGGTTCTCCAGAGGAACATCTCCTTCAGGCCCTGTGCCCCAGCCAAGCTGACCCTGCTGACCTGTCACCCCCCCTGTAGGAGGAAAACCTACATGGTCACCATTCATATTCCTACAGTGGAAAGAAGGTTGTGACAGGACCTGATTCATTAATCTGTCTGACTCTGTGTCTCCAAGACCAGGCAGGGAAGATGGAAGCTCTCTCTCCTCTATGGAGCTAGAGATGGCTGGGAGCTTCTTGAGACCCCCTCCACGCTCCCCCCAGTGTTCAGGCTCTCCTTGACCAAAGTTGTGTGGTCCTCCAAAATTGTGTCCATAAAGTAAATTTATTGGGTCGTCCAGTGGGAAGTGACGGGGATTAGTTCTCTTGGATTCCCTGAGGTCAGGCAGAGTTCCTATCTTTGCCCCCACATTCAGGGAGGAGGTGGAGGAGTTAGAAGAGGAATAGGCAGAGTCAGTGACATTAGGATCAGTGAGTGCTGGCACTGAATGTGTCCCAGCTCCCTGTACGGTCACTCCTCCTGGGGCTCTACTAGAAACTCCTCTGACCTGCTGCGTGTTGGCTAGAAATTCAGCCTCAAAGCTGCGATACAGGTCCTGTTCCCTCTGGGGGTCTAGCGTTGGCAGCATCTGGAAGCCAAGGCCCAGTCCTTCCTCCTCGGGCTCCTGGCGCTCCAGGCCAGACCAGTTCCGATGGTGGCCTCGCCCAGCAGAGCGAGGGCCCTGTAACGTCCGTGGGGAGCGGGCAGCATGTTGGTGAGAGTTACGGGGAGATGAGTGCGGTGAACGTCGACCTCCTGAGGTGACTGGTGGCAGTAGTCTGCCTTTTCCAATGGAGGGTGAGCGAGGGGCAGGAGGTCTGGGAGTAGTTATAGTCTTCTTGCTGGGGCTGCTGTTGTTGTTCTGGACCCCTTTTACAGGGGAGTTAGAGCATGAGGAGGACTGCCTCTTGGTGAACCCAACACCTAATCTAGGAGAAGATGGGGGCACTTGTTTGGCCCTAAGGTCATCTCGTCTGTCTGGGGGTGGGGGCTGAGGGTCTCTGTAGCAGGAAGCGGGTCCCGGGCTTGCATCACTTGACCACGTACGGCTCTGTAACTTACTCTGGCTGTGGGAACGTGGCGCGTGGAGCCTCCTCGGGCCCTCGTTTCCAAGAGAGCGGCCCCTTTCTGTGCGGGATCCATCAGAGGATCCTTGCGGTGGGTTGGGTTTCAGTATTGGAGCGAGTGCAGGACGTTCCCGAGACTGGCTGCGTGCACGGGGCAGTGAGGGGCGCAGGGATGGGGTCTGATTTCCAGCTCCAGGCCTCTCAATCATATGCTTCCCCTCCTTGCGATTAACAAGCAGGACTACCTCATCACCAGAGCGCCGTGAGCCACCTCCAAGAGAGTACCGTCCTCCTCCTCCTCCTCCTCCTCCTCCTCCTCCTCCTCCTCCACCCTTAGAGGAGGCTGTAGAGGAGTCACTGTCTCCAGACAAACGTCTTGTCACTGGCAACTTTGTCTCCTTATTCCTACAATGTAGGGAGGAGACAAAGAGTAATTCATTTTTATAATTATATCACTATCAATTTGTCTTGTAGATTTTCTAACCCAAGACATAGCACTGCCATTTCTCAACCAGACACCTCTCCACTGTGAAACACCAGTAGCATTAGGTTTAACTGTATCAGCTCCTGGAGTGAACTCCCTTACAGGAAGAAAAAACCTTGATAGATTTGATGAGTACAGAGATAATTTGTTTGACTATGAAGATTACACCTGAAATCTAACATATATACTTTTTTATGCAGGTAAGAAAATAGCATTTGGTCTGTTTCTCAACTTATCATGACAGGCCCGAGGTTTAACAAATATTTCTGCTGTAACTAAAACGTTGAAAGCATCAGAAAACAGTGTATTTAAGTTGTTGTATTAGAGTCAATGCATTAAATGACCCGTCAATCAATTTTGGAATGACAGCAACTCTCCAGGTTTTGCCTTTAATTGGTGTTTTATTACACTAGACTAAAGTTATCCTCAGAAATTAGATTTGTAAATATTCAGGCATGGTAATTTGCCTGCATGAAGACCACCTGTTGACCTACTTCCCCAGTTAGCTGTGACCAGTTGTCTAGGGATGGTTGTCAGATTAGTCTTCATCTAGTCTGGCGCACTTGAAAGGGGAAGCCCCACCCACACAGGGTTAATTCCAATGAGCTGTTGCCTTGACGTCTGGTCTGAGCCATCGCTCAGTACAGAAATGAGCCACACATTGGCTAGAAGCCAAAGTAAATACCATTTAGCGACAAATTGTGTTAAACAATGGAGCCTTCACGCTCGGGAAGGTACATGCCCAACTAAACCTTTTCACAGAGCATAAGCAGATCTTATTGTCTCTATTGCCCATAGAAAGCGCCACATATAACGGCCTTAAGATGCCAATACTCTGGCTCTGATGCCACCAGCCTGTTCACTACTCTATCACTGATATTCCACTTCAGACGCATATCAAACTGATGTGTGGTTTCATTCGTCACTGGCTTCATACTAATTCAGACCATCTGTTTGCCATGGCAGGAGAAGAAAGACTTAAGCAACAGCTCGCAGAATCAAAGCCATTTTTAGGCAGTCGATGGTCTAATTAACTCAATGAGAGTAGAAGAGAGAAGAGTGTGGAAAAAGGAGAGTGTTGTGAATAAGCTTGGTGTCTACCGTGTAGCCACTAGGAGGTGCTGTAGTGTGGTTGTGTGAGAGATTTATCTGACCAATGTCACCTGAGATTAGACAAATCTGCTCTGGTCTAATCTGTGGTGTGGGGGTATGTGTATTTGTTGTGTATATTCCCAGTTCTTTGTGTGTCTTTCTGTCTGCGTACTTGTCTGTGGGTCACAAAAGAGCAAGTAGCAAAGCAGAGTGATGCCTGCCAGGCTACTTGAGAGAGATTAATTTCTTATCACCGTAACACACTTATCCCAACACTTATCCGCACACTTGCGTAGACACACACACTCACCTGAGAGGATTTAAGTGGCGGGGTTCTGA